TGCCCTTTTTTTTTTTTTTTTTTTGATACACATTTGCCTGTCTCTGAAGCGTCAGACATGAGCAACAGCTGAAGATGTTGATCAGTGCTTTGTTAGGATAGATGAAACCCTGTATGGTATATCCTATTCACATGTTTGAAGATGTTAGTGTTAGCCAGATTTGGGCTTGGAAAGAGATTTTTCTTCAGGTTTGGCAAAGTTCTTTGTATACCTTGCAGTGTTGGGATCATTTAGGCATATTTCAGTTAATCGGTTTTCTGCTCTTGTGTAGTCTCTCCAGGCACTGGTGACATTTTGATGTCTCCTGCCCTCAGCCAGTAGCATGTAATTTATTCTCTAAAGGACTGGAAAGTTTTAGCTTGAGCAGGCTGCTTGGGTTTAATACTGGATTATTAGTAGTATGCAAGAGGTCAGTGATCTTTTCTGTATTTTAAAATGGGTGATACTATATGTAGACTGAACTTCTGAAGTCTTTCCCTGTAAGGCATCTTTTTTATGTTCTTCTTGTAGCTTTCTTCTGAATATTCCAGATTTTCAATGTTATCTTTTGAAGTTCAGGCACTAAATGCAATATTTCATAATGGTCTCACTATTGCCAAGTATAGGTAATACCCTTTTCTTATTCGTCATTGGTATTCCATACTGTATATATTCAGGGATCACGTTAATTACTGTGACTACTCATTTTCATGCTTTGAATAAGAGGAATCGGACAGTAGTGACTGCAAAGGGAAAAAAGGAAAAAAAGTGGATATTAACACTGCCACTTGCCTGGGACTTCCCATTATGCCTTATTTTTTTTTATTGCTTAACATTGTCCGACTTCATCAGTGTGGGTTGATATTTTTCCTACCAGGCGTCTGCTTCAGACTGAATCTTAATGGATAGCTTCATTCGAAACAGATGTAACATTTCTCAGAAGGAAGTTGTTCAAGAAAGTTGTTTTTCTTTCATTAAATATTAGTAGCCTTTCCTTTGGGAAGCTCTGAGATGTCTCTGCTTAGGTGCAGGAACATGTGATTTTGGAGACAAATGCCATATGTGTCAGGGATGTGCTTTTGGTGCCATCATGGAAGGTTTTTTTTTGCTTTTTCCGTTGTACTTTTTTGTTCATTTAAG